GGGCCAAGGGCTGTCTCGGCTGGGCTCAAGAAGAAGAGGGAAGGAATGGGTTGACAACTTACCACGCGGCACAAGGAATCGTACTCATTCACTAGCCTTTTCAGGAGTAGATATTCAATAATATCACAAGGTAGGAGGGCATTCTTCTTGTCTTGTTTATTTGCCAGGCTAGAACAGGCAATAGGTGAAAGAGAGAGAGAATATATGAATGAATTGGTGGCCAGTCAATTCTCACCTGCACCCCCCCCCAGCCCAAATCTCTTTTTTTTTTTTTTTTTTTTTTTTTTTTTTTTGAGGCAGAGTCTCACTTTGTTGCCCAGGCTAGAGTGAGTGCCCAAATCCCTTTTTTCCTTTTTCATTCCTCATTAGCAACTCCAACTAGACCTTGAACAGAGTTTGGGAGGATATAAAAACTCCAAATCTGTTCATATTCCAGTAAGCAATTCATTCATATATTCTCTCTCTCTTTCACCTATTGCCTGTTCTAGCCTGGCAAATAAACAAGACAAGAAGAATGCCCTCCTACCTTGTGATATTATTGAATATCTACTCCTGAAAAGGCTAGTGAATGAGTACGATTCCTTGTGCCGCGTGGTAAGTTGTCAACCCATTCCTTCCCTCTTCTTCTTGAGCCCAGCCGAGACAGCCCTTGGCCCCTTCCATAATCAGCCTCATATGCTGAGTTTGGGGCACAGTCTCACCCCTACAAGGCAACATATACAGTGATGATTTCTGACTCGATGGTGATAACAAGTATTGCATTCTGCCTTCAAAATAGCTCTGTGAAGTTAGACGTTTTAACATCCCCATTTTATGGATAAAAAAGCTAAGGCTCAGAGACCCTAAGTGACTTGCTCAAGGTCACACATCCAAGACACCACAACCACTTTATTAAAGGACCTTAGCTTTTGTGTCATTCATTTACCTCCTCAGAGGTGACTACTGAGTGCCTCCTAGGAAATCTCAGAGCCTCTCTAGGCACAGCGGACCTTATGTGTACCTCTGCTCTTTGGATGACAGTGATTGAGCCTGTGGGCCTCAGGGGTCCCAGGCTCCAGGTCTGAAGCCTTCTCTTCTCTTTTTTTGTCACAGGAGCCATGTTCAGCCATCCGAAATCTTCCAAGGAGGAACCATCAACCCATAATTAAAGGGCTGCGCTGGCTATTAGCTGTCATTAGAGACAAACATGAAGAGCTATGTACTCGCCAACCACCACCCATCTCGAACATCCCAGCCTCCAGGCATTCCCGAAGATGTGGAGAAAGATGCTCATCAGACAGGTACTGAGATGCCTCTATTAGACTTACTGATAAGAACAGAAGCAGGAGTCAATCTTCCACATGAGCAGGGAGTTCTAGTAGATGCTTGGATTCTGAGTGGCGCTGAGCAAGTCTCTCAACATCAGTTGGCCCAAATTGGGCTAGGGCAGTACTCACTAACATTCCAATATAGTTAGGTACACCCCATCCCTGGCACAACTAGAGCAGTCATGTGAGTGCCATGAGTTTCATAAAGGTAAAGCCAACCTATTAGCATTAGAGCTTCTCTAAAACAGGGCTTTATTCTCCGATTTGCCACGTGGAGGAGAAAAGGAAGATGAGCCCCTGAAGGAGCCCCCTGGCATTATTCTACAGATGAATGTCATGGAACTGCTCCACATTCTCAGCCTCTAGTTCTCCAATCCTCCCAATAATTAGAAGGACAGAAATATTGAAAATTGGAAAAAGAAAACAGAAGGTGATCAAGGTTTTGAGGAGTAAAAGGCCTACATGTCCTCTTGCTCTGTTGTCACCGTCACTGACCCAAAGCATATGGCAGGGATGGAGTAGTAGCTGCAATAAATAAAGAAGCTTAAAGTGTGTCTGTTTCTACTACTGCTGTGTCCTCTCCATCTTCTCCAGCTTCTCTACCACCAGAATGAGAATACCCAAAGAGAAAAGACAGCATCTAGGACAACACCCAGTGGATGCTAGGCCCCTAAAGTCAATCCTACAGGTAAATGGTTCTTTTTTTTATTTCTGCATATTATGGGGGTACAAATGTTTAGGTTACATATGTTGCTTTTACCCCCCTTTCCCCCCAAGTGAGAGCTTCAAGCGTGTCCAGGGACCAACCCCTGAACTCTTGGACACCAACTTACTCTCCCTCCTCCCCATCTTCTTGCTGTACAGAAAGAAGGCTTAAGATTCAGGCCTAAAAAGAACATATCAGTAACCTTTGCTATAGATGAACCCATGAAGGAAGGTGAATGTTCTGGGAGAAACAGAGCTAAAAGAACTAATGAGCTTCGCTATAATCGACGCAAAGACCTACAGACTCCAGCTCTGTATAATGACGACAATCTTTTTGAAGGTAATGTTGGATCAGTGGTTAGAGAAGATATACAGGCCTTCCCTCCCAATTTCTATAATACCGTGTTTCCCCGAAAATAAGACAGGGTCTTATATTTATTTTTCCTCAAGAAGACACCCTAGGGCTTATTTTCAGGGGATGTGTTATTTTTTTAAGTATGCTATAACAATCTACATTTACTCAAATATAGTTAAGTTGTCTTCTTCTGGAACATCATCATAATTCTCCAAATCCTGAATTCCATCCTGAATTTCTTGTGACTCTATTTCCTTTAGAACCATTGGCCCCAATCTCTCATGTCGAACAACAGAGCTCTCATGGGGCAGATGAGAAGGGCTGCTTGTCTTCTTTACTACTCCTCAAGGAAATGCATGGGTTGTGCAGATATGCTGCGTAGCCACGCCCATCACTAGGTCTTATTTTCAGGGTAGGGTTTATATTGCACAAATGCTTAGAAATTCTGTTTGGGCCTATATTATGGGTAGGTCTTATTTTCGGGAAAACACAGTAGTATTCTAATTTTGAGCCAGAAATTCTTTTTATATACTATGCTTTGTGATTAAGGAAAGAATACAGGGAGAGTGCTTGGGAACCACCTTTTGGTAGCCCAGTATGATACCCCATCACTATTTGACACAAGATCTTTAGATGACTATAGTGTTTTCTTAAAGGTTATGATTTCCAGTGGCAGAAGTACAAACTGGCACAACATTTATGGAGGGTAGTTTGGCTATCTCCCTCCTTCCTTCTCTTTCTCAATCTACACATCGAGACCTTTAGGCCGGGCATGGTGCCTCACACCTGTAATCCTAGCACTCTCGGAGACTGAGGCTGGAGGATCGCTCAAGGTCAGGAGTTCGAGACCAGCCTGAGCAAGAGCGAGACCCTGTCTCTACTAAAAATGGAAAGAAATTAATTGGCCAACTAAAAATATATAGAAAAATTAGCCAGGCATGGTGGCACATGCCTGTAGTCCCAGCTACTCGGGAGGCTGAAGCAGAAGGATTGCTTGAGCCCAGAAGTGTGAGGTTGCTGTGAGCTAGGCTGATGCCACCGCACTCTAGCCCTGGTGACAGAGTGAGACTCTGTCTCAAAAAAAAAAAAAATTTAAAAATGTGAATATACTTTAAGCCAGTACTCTCACTTCCTGAGCTACATCCAAAGTTAATCACAGGCCAGGCGCAGTGGATCACACCTGTAATCATAGCACTTTGGGAGGCTGAGGCAGGAGGATCGCTTGAGGCCAGGAGTTTGAGATCAGCCTGGACAACATAGTGAGACCCTATCTTTACAAAAAAATTTAAAAGTAGCCAGGCATGATTGCATGTGCTAGTAGTCCCAGCTACTCGGGAGTCTGAGGCAGGAGGATCTCTTGAGACTGTGAGTCCAAGGCTGCAATGAGCTATAATCAGGCCACTCCAGTCTGGGCAACAGTGTGAGACCCTGTCTCTAATATATAAATAAAAATTTAAAAATTATAAAAATTGCCGGGTGTGGTGGCTCACACCTGTAATCCTAGCACTCTGGGAGGCCAAGGCAGGTGGATTGTTTGAGCTCAGGAGTTTGAGACCAGCCTGAGCAAGAGTGAGACCATGTCTCTATTGGAAAAAAAATAGAAACAAATTAGCTAGACAACTAAAAATACATAGAAAAAATTAGTCAGGCATGGTGGTGCACGCCTATAGTCCCCAGCTACTTGGGAGGCTGAGGCAGGAGGATAGTCCTTCAGGTAACCCTGGAGCCGTGGAATGTTAGACCTACATGGAGGTTTCTGAACTTGGCCAGGGCCACTAAAGAGGAGATAGATACTACTCTGGGGATAGGGAGTGGGGATGAGAGTTGAGTAGAAGTAATCCGGTAAAAGAAGAGAGGAAACATTTTTCTAGATGTCGGCAACTACCCTCAACTCTCTAAAACCGAAATCCATTTTCATTTCTATATAATCTCAGAATCCAGGGCAAAAAAGAGAATGGAGACCTGGGATACAAAGAAGGTGTTATTGGAAAATACCTGTGACGACGACTTTTGTTCCTATGGTTAGTATTGACTAAATGAAGGCCAAAGGGGAGAGAGCAAGAGTGAGAGAAAGTATGAGGCCGGGGCAGAGAGTGGGCTCCTTGAGGGGTAGAGTCTACAGCCCTTTTGAAATTGGCCAACACCCACCTACCCTAACGTGGTTTGGGAAGGACAAGAAACCTGGCACTTGGCTTCACTTGCAGTGACTGGCCATTTTCTTTCTCTTTTTACTTTTAACAGACTGCTAAAGAGAGAAATGGAGGGAAATCAAAAGACACATCTAATATCCCTCCCTCAGCAAATGGGTTCAACTCCAGAACCATCAGGACTACTTAGTTTTCTAATTTGTATCTGATAACACCTCTACAGTCCTCCTACAACTCCAACTACTTTAACATCACATCCCTGAGAACCCCCATTGTTCCCATGTACCTATGTTCCAGCCATCGAATTAATTCTATGCTCACTGAGAGGCTCAAGAAAAGTTAGGTGCTTCCATTTGAGAATGAAGACCATCTTGGAAAAGAAGAACCGAGACTTTACATCTTTATACCCAGATGCTCCTGACGAAGCCTGCAGACAATAAGCCGTGGGTGGCCAACCAAAGTTGAGCCTTAGAAGTACAGGGTTCATTTAGAAATACATTTGTTTCCTTTAAGGTTCTTGGGTGTGAAGGGACTGGCAAAAATAAATAGAACTTCTTTGCTGAGAATTACGCTCTACTGAGTCATTTTCAGTCACCTCCAGAAACAATGGGGTTTTAAAGTCCCAGCCACTCTCTGTGAAGCCGAGGAACAACTGCTTTGCTGTCCCTTCAGGAATAGCAACTGCTGCCTCTTCTAACACTTTGGTTAGGTGTGTAAAAACTGTAGGAGCTTGAATGTATTCAACCCTCTATCCCCAAAGTGGTAGTGGTGCTAGCTATTTACTATTTACTACTACTACAAATTGAGTAGTCCTTATCTGAAATGCTTGGGACCAAAAGTGGTTTGGATTTTAGATTTTGGAATATTTGCATTATATATACTTAGCAGTTGAGCATTCCTAATCTGAAAATCCAAAATGGTCCAATGAGCATTTCCTTTGAGTGTCATGTCAATATTCAAAAAGTTTTGAATTTTGGAGCATTTTGGAATTTGGATTATGAATACTCGATTTGTATCACTTTCACCATGAGTACCACAAGCCACTATTTATTGAGTGCCTTCTGGATGCCAGGCACAATACTAATTTCTTCACATCCATTATCTTATTCACAACAAACAATGCTTGGAGGTAGGCACTATACCTGATTGCATTTTATAGAGGGGGAAACTATAGGGCAGAGAAGTTAAGTAACTTGCCCAAGGTCCCACACCACCTGTAAAAATCAAAGCAGGATGCTCTCACTCATCTGTGGGAGTTACAAAAGTGGATCTCATGAAGACAGAGAGTAGCTTGGTGGTTAGCAGAGGCTGGGAAGGGTAGGGAGGAGGGGAGGATGAAGAGAAGTTGATGGGTACAAATAATACAGCTTGATAGAAGAAATAACACCCAGTGTTAAACAGATTAGTAGGGTGACTATAGTTTACAACAATCTATTATGTATTTCAAAATAACAGGAAGAGAATGATTTGAATGTTTCTAGCATAAAGAAATACAAATATTTAAGATGATAAATATCTCAATTACACTGACTTGATCTTTACTAGTTATATGAATGTATTAAATTATCACATGTATCCTGAAAATATATATGTCTATTATATAATCAATAAAAAATAAAATTCAAAAGAACAATTTTGGTGAGGGGAAAAAAAAAAGGAACTGAATCCAGATCTGTCTGACTCTACAGCTACTTTAGGCTAGAAACATCCACTTACGTTTTTCTCAAACTCTATCCAGAAAAAGAAAGCTATATCCAGGAAAAAATGCTGAAGTGTATCCTATCAGGAGAATTAATATCAATCAGCACATCAATAGTTGTAGCAGACACAGTTGATCGAGCACTTCCATTCTGACAGGTGCTGGGCTAAGTGCTTTATATATATCATTGCCTTTCATCCTCACAAGCCTATGAAGTCGATTCTATTATCACCATCTTACAGAGGCAGAAACTGATGTTCTGAGAGGTAAATAATTTGTCCAGGGCATCCACGAGGAGGTGGCAGAACTGATTTTCAGACTAAGGTCCAACTCCATAACCCATGCTCTTAGCTCTACCCCATATCATCTCACCAAACAGTATAAACCAACTAACCGATAATTGTTTATGAGGGATAGAAATCTTACACAAAAAGATCCATCTCACAACCCCATCTGGAAGGTCTGATACTGTCTAAGACTGTATTATTTGCTTCCATCTTCAAGGGAATCACCCCAAACAAGCACCTTATAGATCTTTGACACAACTCTGATTGAGGGTCAGCTGATTAGTCATGGAGCTGGAAGGAACCTTACAGAGCCTCTTGTCCAACCCCTCTTGTTATACAGATGAGGAACTTGGGGTACAGAGAGATTACGACTTGCCTAAGATGGTATAGCCGATCGCTAGCAGAGCTGCTCCTAAATCCAGATTTCCTGTGTGCCCAAGCCAATACTATTACCCTCTCTGAAAATGCTGCATCCTCTTTGGGTCTTCCTTGGCTGCTCTGCCCACCTCCTTTCCTCCAGTTCACCCGATTAATATCACGAGAGCATTCTGCTTACAATCTTTCTCACCAGAGGATGCAGCAATTATCTCTATTGAAGAAGATGGGAAAGGGAGGTAGAAGTGTACCCTATGAATGTGAGCTGAGTGGAAAATTTAGGTTGAACAACCCCTAATAAAACTGAATTTCAGTATATTGGCACGTTCCCTTTGTGCAATGTATGTGTTCCTGGGTGTCAACCACATTTTCCTACATAGAATCTATCAATCACAAAAGCTTATTTAAAGAACACTCCCACTAATACAGCCAGTATACCCTTATTCCCGTGAAGGAAAAAATATCTTTTTTGAGTGAATCTTAATTTTGTTGCTATCGGCTATTAATGTACTTTCCAAACCCCTGATCAAGCTGGGTGACCTGGCAATTTCCCCCAGTGTAGACAGAAAAAACTGCCTATCTTACAGGTCTGTTGTGAAGTTTAAGGGGGACAATCCATACAAAAATGTTTAGCATAGCACGTAGCATATCCTAAGTAGCTCATTAAATGTTAGCTACCATTATTATGATTTCGGTGAGAAGCTTGGTTAGGTCATTTGAAAACTATATCCCCCCATCTGGGACAGGGGTATTCCCTTTCCTCTTTTCTGTAGAGAACAACCCAAAGGATGATTCTAAAGTACAAAGAGCATGGAGAATCTAGGGTATTACAACCATTGCCTCCCATTATCTTTGTCTTTGAGACTGCTAAATCTGTCAAAGAGGCTTTATAAATCTATATCTCAGCACAGACACCAAAATAAGGATAGTTTTTCGAGCCAAGAGGGCAAATTTTCTTAAAGGCAAGTGGTTCCTTGGGGTTTCTCTTCTTTAGTTGTCAATATCTTAGCCTCTCTCTAGGACTTTTAGAGTCTAGCTCCTGTCAGAGGCACTTCAAGCATATGAATGACCCTGGCTCATCATTCAATAAGGCCCACATGGCTCTGAGTATTTGTCCATCTTATCTTTTGAGACAAACCTGGGCTTTCTGAGAATTCATTATGAATAGGTATGAATTCTGCTGTGAATGATGTCCAACTCCTGCACTCCAGTTCCCATTCTTCATTCACATGTTGTATCTACCTGCCAGTAGTATCCTATCAGCAGTGTTGCTAAGCAATCTATGACCTATAGGACATGTGTCATACAGTTAGCACACAACAAAGGTAGAGAAAGAACAGTGATAATTCAGGGTTGAAGGATGGAAACCAGTAGTAGCTAACCCAGCTATAAATCACCCAGAGATGCGAGTGTTGGTGCTTGGGCCATACCAGTTGTGTTTTGAATATCACTCTTCTCTCCCAGTAACCTCCTCAAATCATTCATTTTCAAGGCAGTTGCCACTGGTAAGATGTAATAATCAAGTATACTGAACACCAACATCACTCTCCTCGGGCAGGAGAATCCTGCCAACTAGTATTTTTAATCATAAGATGCCACTGGCCATGGCTGGAAGAAGAGTCAAGCCTGGACTCACTGCTCTGTTACTCAACCCTGTAAACACTTTATTGGGAGACCAAAACTTGAGCTATCACCCAACTTTCCAGGACTTAAATCATCCCCTCGGCCTACTTCATTTTCATAGGTGTGCCCAGAAGAACTATAGCCATGGCACCCCGACCTGTGTTTTATTCCTTCAGCTGTGATATTAATAATTTATATTTCCATTCCCCTTGCCTTTTCTTTCATGTCAAGCTCTGTGAGAAACAGAGATGGAGCTGTTATCCCAGGCGATAGAGAAAGCAGTATATATTTTCTGCTGTTGGCGTATAGATAACATCAGCTCAGGGTCATGGGAATCAGGGGCCTTGTACTTCCCAGGAAGTGCCCAGCTCAGGTCCAGGGAGCCCAGGAAGGCTCTTCTGCCAGGTAGTGGGCACAGCAATGTTAACAAAGCACTCAGGCTGTGCTGTGTGCCGATGACTCAGGAATCCCACGCGATCCCACACTTATGCTAGTCACCACTTCCAGGAACTAAAATAGACTTCTGGTGCTAAAAGACAGCAGGCCTTTAGGTCTGCTGAGAAAAATGAGCCCAGTCCTAAGAACTGGCATGCTATTCAATACAATGGAATGTTACACAGCCATTAAAGATGGCAATTATGTGCACTGTGTGGGTAGAAATCAGAATGTGAAATACTGTTAAGTGAAAACAGCAGAATAGGAAAGAGCAGGTACACATGCTGATCCTAAGTAAAGCATACACATAAGAATACATTTCTAAAGAACTTAAAAGAATGAAGAGCATCATAGTTCTTTTAGATTCTACGCCCCCCTCCCCCAATATGTTTTTAATAATACATTTTTCTTTAGAAATGTGTCATGCTGATCACACTAGGTTACAAAGACATCTGTCTTTTAGCTGACACAGGAGTTAACTCCACAGATAATTTGATTCAGGGACTAGAGAAGAACTGAACACTATGGGGGCTGGTGCTCTATCATTTGCAGCAACATGGATGGAATGGTCATTATGTTAAGTGAAATAAGCCAGGCACAGAAAGATAAATATCACACGTGCTCATCATATGTGGGAGCTTAAAAAGTGGATTTTATGGAGGTAGACAGTAGAAATGATAGCTACCAGAGGCTGGGAAGTAGGGGGATGAAGAAAAGCTGGCCAATGAGTATAAAAATACAATTTGATAGAAGGAATAAAATCTAATGTTCAAAAGTTCAGTAGGGTGACTATAGTTAACAATAATTTATTGTATATTTTAAAATAGCTACAAGAGAATTCAAATGTTCCCAACATAAAGAAAAAATGTCTGAGGTGACGAATCTCTCTATTACCCTGATCTGATTATACGCTGTATATACATATATCAAAATATCACATATACCCCCAAATACATACAACTATTATGTACCAATAAAAAAATCATTGCGCTGGATCATTCCTCTTCCTCCTCCCCTGCTTATGTTCAGGACACTCACTCAAACGCAATTACCATTTCAGGTTTAGCACTACAATGAGGAATTCCTTCCAAACCCCAAGCTGAGCAAATAACTCTAAGATGTGAGTTTAAGAAAATTTATATTTGGACCTCTTTGAAGTTGGGCTGCTGTGTTTTGAACCAGGCTTATTTATACTGAACAAAAGGAACTGTTTTTTTTGATAGGGTGCTAGAAGTTCCTTATTTGTAAAAGAATTGCTACATGCTACCCCTCTTGTCACCTTGTCACGGTTAGTACTTACAGTTAGTCAAGTATCTAGCACATATCTGGGTATCCGGGTGAGTAAAACTCTCACCCTGGAGCCCTGGCCTCAACACCTGCCCAGACTGGGTTTTTCTAGAATTTGCTTTCAATCAGCATGATTAGTTTTTAAAAGACTATGTTTAGTTTCTTTTAACTTTGCATTTTGAAATAATTTTAGATTTACTGAAGAGTTATAAATACAGTACAGAGTTCACATATACCCTTCCCCCAGCTTCCCCTAATAGTAACATCTTACTTCTAGTACATTGATCAAAACTACCACATTAACATTAGTAAAATACCAGCTATTAAACAATAGACTTGATTTAGACTTTACCAGTTTTTTCACTAATGTCCTTTTTTTTGTTGTTGTTCAGGATCTAATCCAAGATTCCATATAGTATGTTTAGTTGGAAAAAAAAACCCACCTCTAGAAACAAGTTTCCTCTTAGGAGGTTGAAAGGGCAGGCTAGTAGGTGTTCTGAGCAACTGATGATCTGGAGCTATTCCACCCAGAAGGGAACTCCATCACTTACTTCTGTACCAAAGCCCTTAATCCATGACACCTCATCACAGTTATTTTCAGAAAACATGTCCTACATTAGCACTTCTCACAGTAGTACTAAGCAATTTGACAAGTGGGTTATTTTTAGCAATGAATATTATGAAAGTGACAAAATGAGAGGGATGGCCTTCTTTGTTTTCTATGCTTCATTTTTCTTCAAACTGTATTTAAACCTTTTACTAGAAGCTATCATATTTGACTAAACCATAAATGCTGAGAAACACCCACAACAACAGGGAAGGAACTCTTTCCAATATGTATTTGGTTTTGTTCACCTAAAATTAAATATTGAAACCTTACCAAAAACAAACTGATTAGGTTAATTCTGGTAGTTAACCTCTAGAATGAGAGGGAAAGCAGGCCAGGACATCCATTTATTCACTCGACAAATAATCAGATTATTAAGAATGACTCATTTCATGCATGCTATGTGCCAGGCAATTTGCAAAGTGCTATATATATAGATTGTTTCACTAAATCAGTCAAAACAATCACATGAGGTAAGTACTATTAATATTATTACCCTTATTTTACAGAGAGAGGAACGGGGAATAGAGGGTTGGAGAGATTAAGTAACTTGCCGAAGGTCACACAGCATGTAAGTGATGAGGCTAGGATTCAAGCCCAGGTCAGCCTTAATCCAAAGCTGCTCTACTTGGCTAGTATGCTATGTCGCCTTTCTGAGCACCTGCCACACTTCAGACACCATGCTAGGTGTTAGAGATACAATAGTGATTAAGTGTATAGTTTGTCCTCTCAAACTTTATAGTCTAGTTGGAGTAGACAGACTATTAAACAGCTAAGCATAATATAGCCCTCTCTTCTTCTCAGATATTCCTTGCTTTGTTACACATAAAGGTGATCAGTAATTGCAAATGGTGAATATAAACATCTCGAAGTATTTAAATTCCTTTTCTAGGTCCTCAGAGCAAAGGCCTCTTCCATCCACGTGTCCTGAGGCTCCCTAACAGTTATGAATACACTTGAGGATATTTACATGTTCTTCCATTGTGTGGCTCTGGGCCAGATGTGGGCATTGTCACCTCTTGATCTCCTTTGACAAAAAAACAATGAGAAATAAAATGTAGAGATACATATATTAATGGAATAGAATCAGCTGATGGAAAATTTTCAAGTCTGGGGCATAACAGTTATATTCATTTCAACTATCCTTTTGCACTTAAATTAATTGGTGAGCACTGAGGGAGCCTCAAATGGTTCATGACTGTACTTTATGGGCCATTTTGAAATATATTCCTTAGAAAAATGACAGTGATGACCCTATAAGTTATAAATATGCAATGTGATTTTGAAGGTGAAGGGGTGGAAGACCTAAATCTCAAGAAACAACAATCTCTTCTCCCTTCTAGCCCCCAAACAATCAAATGGCATTATCAAATACCTTAATCCTGTGGTTCTCAATACTGGCTACACACTGAAATCACTGGAAAAATTTCATTACCATCTCCTGTGTCCCACCCCAAGATTGTGATGATTTAGTTGGTCTGGGTATGGCCTGGGCTTTGGAAGTTTGGAAAGTTCCCTGGGGGATTTTAATGTGCAGATTAATTTGGGAACCACAGCCCTAATCAAAGGATCATAATCCTGGCTGCACATTCAAATCACCTTGAGGATCTTTTAAAATTCCAGATGCTTGGGCCACACCCCAGTCCAATTAAATCAGAATATCTAGGGGTAAGGCTCAAGCCCCAAAACTAGGTTTTTCAAAAGCTCCCCAGGTGATTCCAATGTGCCAAGACTGGACACCATTGCAGTAGGTGAAACTCCAAACCTGCAAGGGCAATGACAAAATGTGCACTCACTGGTTCAGCAACTCTTAAGTTGAGCCTAATGAGAAGAAGCCAGTTCTACTTAATAGAAGACAGGTAAGAATCAGGCTACGGACAAATCCTTAAAACAATTGTCCTACTGTAATATTAAGATGGGCTCACTTTTCTCTCACATGCATGAGGGTTAATTTTATGGCTTGGCTAGGATTATAGCAACTGATGGATATCTAAGCCACACTTTCTACCACACCCACCAAAATAAGTGCAGAAAGAATGGGAAAGAAAATGCGTTAACGAGATGAAAACCTTTGCAAAGGACTCAAAATCAGTGCTCAAAACTCCTAGGTAGGTCTAGATGAGGAGAAAGCAGAAAAGCAAGCTATTACCCAACTACTGTAGTTCATGTTTTATCTGAAACTTGATGTGCGCTTTTACTCAACATGCCAAACACTAACCTTGGAGACAAAAACCTCAGACAGTGATTCTCGTCCTTGGCTACATATTAGAGTCATCTGAAGACGTCCAAAATGAATTAAAGGTACCTCTGAGGGGATGGTGCCAGGGAACCTGTTTTAAAAGGTCCCCAGGTGGTTCTAATGTGCCATCATGGCTAAGAACAGTCACTCTAAACCAGTGGTTCTCAAACTTGAATGTGTATCACAATCACCTGTAGGGCATGCTAAAACAGATTGCTGGGCCCCAACTCCAGTGTTTCTGATTCAGTTGGGGTGGAACCCGAAAGTTTGCATTTTTCACAAGCTCCCAGGTGATGTCTCCACTGCCATAGACCTAGATACTTTACAACTGGAAGAGATCATTTACTATAAACCCCAAAATCTCCTGGGAATTTACAGCTACTTTAGTTACCACTAGTCTTCATGTCCCAACCCCAATTTCTACTGTTCTTCCCTACCTTTACTATGTATTAATACTAACAATGTGACCACTTTGGGTGGACCAACTTGTCCCGGTTTATCTGAGATGCTCCCAGTTTTAGCACTGTAAGTCCCATGTCCCAGGAAAATCAGGACAGTTGGTCACTTTACTAATGTTTTACAGTTCACAAACTGTAATACAATACTATTAGATTTTTCTTATATCACCCAGCATCCAGATCTTGGTTTCTAAGCACCATTCTCCATTGAAAGGAACCAAGGTTCATTGGAAATGGCTGATTTTAGGACTAGGGCAGGGAAAATGTACAGTGAGCCTGAGAATCTTGTGCTAGAATCTAAGGACGTGCTCAAAGACTAATGGAAGCATGTTTAACCAACATGGGAGTCGAGCCTGAGAGGACTCTCACTGGCCAAACTGGAGAAAATTTGGACATCAAAAAGAAAATGATTGAACTGAACACTGAATTCAAATAAGAAAAATATCAAGTGATATTTGAAAAAAGAAAATAACTTTGTCACCATTGGAAATAACTATTATACCAACTTCTTACTCTGAAAATTGCTATTTAAGGGAAAAGAATTAGGCATTTACCTTGCCTTTTTTGGAGGAACTCTAGTTTATACCCTATAGGTGAGGAAAAACTCATCTTTACAGAAGAATGCAGGCTAATAAACATAGACTGATTCAAAGAATTAGGAAATCAACACTTGCAATCCCCAATTGAGTTGCAAAATAAATTTTAAAAATTAAAAAAAATGACTGAGTTAGGAAATAGTAATCAATGGATGCTAAAATCTTTAGGTGAGAGGCTGTTGGGAAACAGGATAGTTACATGAGGCCAAATAACACCCTACAGATTTATTGTTAATTACAAAGAGAAAATTACACAGAGAGTTCTGAGGGCCATCAACTTAACCATCACCTTTACTAAGAGTGGACAACTGATATTATGCATCTCCTGATGGGATGCAACATGAAGTATAGACCATCACTTAAGAAGTATTCTTGTCGAAAATGTTGTAATATGAATCTAATCAAGCCACTAGACCTACAAGAAATTCAGGAGCCAGAAAGAGTTAAACACCACCCTAAGGAAACAAACCATCTTGATTTGCCCAGGACTGAGGGGTTTCCCAGGATAAGGAGTAGTGCTCAAACTGGGAGAGTTAGGGCAAACCAGGATAGTTAGTCACCCTACAGTCAGATAAATCCATAATGTGGGGCAGACCTGGTATACAAAAAGTCAGTGTCATGAAAATAAGAGTAGGGAGACCATTCTTGATTAAGAGAGACTAAAGAGTGGCCGGGGGAGGTGGCTCACGCCTGTAATCCTAGCACTCTGGGAGGCTGAGGCGAAGGCGGACGGATTGCTCGAGGTCAGGAGTTCGAAACCAGCCTGAGCAAGAGCAAGAGCAAGACCCCGTCTCTACTATAAATAGGAAGAAATTAATTGGCCAACTAATATATATAGAAAAAATTAGCCAAGTATGGTGGCACAAACCTGTAGTCCCAGCTACTCAGGAGGCTGAGGCAGCAGGATTGCTTGAGCTCAGGAGTTTGAGGTTGCTGTGAGCTAGGCTGATGCCACGGCACTCACTCTAGCCTGGGCAACAGAGCGAGATTCTGTCTCAAAAAAAAAAAAAAAAAAAAAAAAAAAAGGAGAGACTAAAGAGACACAACTACCAAATTAAACATGTGAATTAGCCATAAAAGACTTTTTAGGGACAGCTGGGGAAACTGAATATATAGCACTGTGACCCTGCTAGTACATAGATGTAAATGAACTATGTCGCTAAGCACACTAATACAGCTGCTGGTTCTTTTTGTTGTTGTTGTTGTTGTTACAAGACTCTCAGTGAAGAATGTGGTACTCTGATGTATACTCTGGTGCAAGCTCCTTATCTCCCTGTGAACCAACAGGTAGTCTGCAGACCACACTTTAGGAAGCACTAGATTACATATTAGATGATATTAGTGAAGACTGGTAAGGTATTGCTAATTTTATCAGCTGAATTTATAGTATTATAGTTAGGTAGAAAAATGAACTTATGCTTAGATGTATACTGAGGTATTTAAAGGTAAAGTGTCAAGATGTCTACAACTTACCTTTCAAGTGGTTTGTCAAAGAACATATACACACAGAGATAAAGCACATATAGCAAAATGTTAACATTTATTGAATCTTGATGTTGGCTATACTGGTGTTCATTGTACTATTGTTTCTCTATTATGGGGGTACAAATGTTTAGGTTACATATATTGCCTTTGCCCTGCCCAAGTCAAAGGTACAAGTATGTCCATCCCCCAGATGGTGCACACTTCACCGATTAGGTGTGAATATACCCATCCTCTCCTCCCCCGACCTCCCGTCTGCCCGACACCCAATGAATGTTACTACTATACGTGCACATAAGCATTGATCAGTTAATACCAATTTGGGCCGGGCACGGTGGCTCACACCTATAATCCTAGCACTCTGGGAAGCCGAGGCGGGAGGATCGTTTGCGCTCAGGAGTTCAAGACCAGCCTGAGCAAGGGCGAGAACCCGTCTTTACTAAAAAAATAGAAAGAAATTATCCTGACAACTAAAAAATATATATATTAAAAAAATTAGCCGAGCATGGTGGTGCATGCCTGTAGTCCCAGCTACTCGTGAGGCTGAGACAGAAGGATCGCTTGAGCCCAGGAGTTTGAAGTTGCTGTGAGCTAGGCTGATACCTTGGCACTCTAGCCAGGGCAACAGAGTGAAACTCTGTCTCAAAAAAAAAAAAAAAATACCAATTTGATGGTAACATTGTATTATTCTTTTAACTTTCTTATATGTTTGAAATTTTTCATAATAAAAATGATGGAAGCATGATTCTTATAGGATATACAGGCCTCCCTCATTTTGAGTTTCACTTTATTATGCTTCACAGACACTACATTTTTTAAAAAAATTCAGATTTGTGGCAATTCTGTGTCAAGCAAGTCCATCAGCTCCATTTTTCCAACAGCAAGTGCTCATTTCTTGTCTTTATGTCACATTTTCAAACTTTTTCACTATTATTATGATATCAATTATGATGATCTGTGATTAGTGATCTTTGATGATACTACTGTAATTGTTTGGGGCACCACAAACCACACCCATATAAAACGGTAAACTTAATAAATGCTGTGTGTGTTCTGACTGCACCACCAGCCATTCCCCCATTTCTTTCCCTCTCTTCAGGCCTCGATATTCCCTGAAACACAAAAATATTGAAATTAGGCCAATTAACAACTCTACAATGGCCTCTAAAGTAATCAAGTGAAAGAAAAGTTGCATGTCTCTCACTTTAAATCGAAAGCTAGAAATGATTAAGCTTAGTGAGGAAGGCATGTC